CTAGGTCAGTGGTCGGCAAACTCATTAGTCAACAGAGCCAAATATCCACAGTACAACGATTGAAATTTCTTTTGAGAGCCAAATTTTTTAAACTTAAACTATATAGGTAGGTACATTGTTATTAACTTAATTAGGGTACTCCTAAGCTGGCCTTTGCTAAAAATGTCCTCAATCTGATTGAGGTACGTTCGCTGAGGTCGACCCCTTCCAACTCTCCCATCCACACTCATCTATCTGAAACAAGTATACGGCCGAGACGAGTGTGGATGGGAGAGTTGGAAGGGGTCGACCTCAGCGAATGTACCTCAATCAGATTGAGGACATTTTTAGCAAAGGCCAGCTTAGGAGTACCCTAATTAAGTTAATAACAATGTACCTACCTATATAGTTTAAGTTTAAAAAAATTGGCTCTCAAAAGAAATTTCAATCATTGTACTGTTGATATTTGGCTCTCTTGACTAATGAGCTTGCCGACCACTGGTCTAGTCAATAAATGGTGTTGGAAAAATTGGACAGATATGTGCAAAAAAATGTGAAACTAGACCACCTTACATCATACACAAGAATAAACTCAAAGTAAAGATTTAAATGTTATGTGGGTGCCTCTTCCTGGCCCTGGTGCTCGGAGCTGGGGAGCCCAACTTGGGGTTTTGACCCCACATTTATCAGGGGGGTTCCCCCACAGTTGAGATATCCCTCCGGAATCTCAGCTGCCACCTGGGAGGCAGAGCCAGCCCTTTTCTCATCTCTGCCCTTCTTGCCAGTCTCAATGTAGTGTCTTCTATAAATCTTTGGTTATAAGACGTCTCTTCATCTAGTCTCCAGTTGGTTATTCGGATGATTGTTCCATAATTTGTGTGTGTGTGTGTTATAATTTAATTGTAATTCCAGTTTGGTCCTACTCTACCACCATCTTGGATCATCATCTTGTGTTTTAATTATTAGAGTCTTTTGTGTATTCTAGATTTAAATCCTTTGCGGAATATATGTTTTAGTCTGTAGCTTGGCTTTTGATTTCTTAAGAGTGTCTTTTGAAGAATAACACTTTTAAGATTTTGATTAAGGCCTGAAAGTTTTAAAGAAGACTAGAGAATTGGAAGCAACAGCAAAAAGCAAAACAAAACTTAATTTCTTTGCTCTTATTATTCACTGGTTGCCACCAGAAATCAAGTATGTATTGTACATTCCGCTTTTTCTGTGCAGTTGTCCTGAATTGTAAATGGCTTAATATTTCAACGAACTTGTTTTGTACTAGGCCCTAGAGTTTATAAAGATGAGTTATAGATGTCATTTTTCTTCAGAGTGCTCATTTTTAATATTTAGTGTTTCTTCCCATCATCTGTTTTTGGAGCCAGGTCTATATATTTTCCTTTGTTCAGTCCTGAATGCAGCTCTAGAGGCAATGAAGTACTCAGTACATTTTTATCTTGTATTGTACTTATACTTTCTCCACGCACAAATATGTAATTTCATCATGCAAGAAATTTATTGGGTGTTTTTTATTTTTATTATCTTCCACATATCATAGCATAGTTCTTTATACACAGGGGACAATCACTAAATATTCAATGATTAAGTGGAATTATTGATGACCATGGTTAGGTATGGCTTTCCTGATTATCCTAAATAATAAAAGGCTAATATGCAGATCGACCAAACGGAATGACCAGTCGCTGTGACACGCACTGACCACCAGGGGCAGACGCTCAACACAGGAGCTACCGCCTGATAGTCAGTGCACTCCCACAGGGGGAGCACCACTTAGCCAGGAGCCCTGAGCCGGACTCAAGGCTGGCGAGCACAGCTGCGGTGGCGGGAGCCTCTCCTGCCTCTGCAGCAGCACTAAGGATGTCTGACTGACAGCTTAGGCCCACTCCCTGCAGTCAGACACCCCTGAGGGCTCCCGGACTGTAAGAGGGTGCAGGCTGGGCTGAGGGGCACCCTCCCACCCCCCACCCCCGAGTGCACGTGCCTCTAGTTGATAATAAAACCTTGGACTATGCTTAACTAAATGAATAAGAGCTATTCTCATTTCATATGCCATCATTGCAATAGCTTGTTTTCTAGATAGAATAAAGATGCCTGGTTATTACTTGAGTATTTTTGAGTGATCTTTTTTTAAAACCCTGATATAACATCATCATTTTTTTTTTTAATTATTATTATTGTAAAAGCCTGTGTAGTGTAGAATAGCATGCGTCTGTAATCAGTTAAAAATGAAACATCTTTCACAAAGTTTGCTCTATTTAATGAGTTTTGTATTTTATAACTTTGGAATATCTTTTCCAGTGAAACCAATACATTGAAACATAAATGTTATACTTGTAAGTATATAGAAAATTATGGTAATAACTTGTTTTCTCTATCTAGGTTCTGGGGACACCAACAAGGGAGCAAATTAGAGAAATGAATCCAAACTACACAGAATTCAAATTTCCTCAAATTAAGGCACATCCTTGGACTAAGGTGAGTCAAGTAGAGTTTTTATAAAGGCACATTAACAAGTTAAAACTTGGGTTTTTATTGTTCTTAAACTAAACTATTTTGAGACTAAATAGCTGCCTGAGTACAAAGTACACAGCAGTTCTGCATGTAAAGATAGTTGGGTAGTTGTACTTCAATGTTTCATTGACTGCATATAGTTTGTCTCCATTGATTTCCAGTAAATTGTTTCCATTCTGGGTTTTTATTTGTAGGGTGAGGACAGTGTAGCTATATCATTAAAATATATAATTTTATAGGAGCAAAATTCATGTATAAATTTTGACTACTTAAAATTCAGAAGTTAATTTCTTTACATAGTTAGAGGTGCTTATTTAGTATCATACACTATTGAAAACATATATTTCATATATTCCTTTTACAAACTATTAATATAGAGACCTTATTATAGATGATAATGGCGTATTTTTCTTATTTACTTTCCTATTGGTGTTTTGGGAGCAAGGATAAAAATCAGGTTTGATCTTACTAGGAGTATACATTGAAAGCAATAGATGTTATAACAGGATGTCACTAGCCATTGGAAAATCCAACCTCAATATTAGATGGAACCAAGTCTAAGAGCATAAATACTAACTTACTGGAAAACATTATTTTTTGCTTTGACACTTATTAGAAATTATTTTTAAGAGAGATTTTTCATTAAAAGTGTTGTGTCTGTTTTAACCTCAGTTTAATTTATGAGATTAAGTGTTCAAGAAAAAACATGTCTCAATAGGATTTATAGCTAGAGTGAATTTCTAGCGTCCTCATTTTACAGATTCAGAAACTCTGGCCAAACATACTAAGTCACTTATCCAAGATTAAATGGGTGGCTCTTATAAAGCCAATAAACTTATTTGTGTGTATACATATGTGTTTAATGCCAGATCTTTTAAACTTCTAGTTATATGCTATGCACTCCCCCTTCCCATTTACTTATATTTCATTATACTAGAGGCCCGATGCACGAAATTCGTGCAAGGGGCTCAGCCCTCACAGCCGCAGTGCCCAGCTTCGTTCAGGTCGTCTGGACTGTCTTTCTGCTGTTTGGCTATCAGGTGTAATTAGCATATCACACTTTTATTATTATAGAGATTTTTGTGGGTTAAAAATGTTCAACTTTTTAATCTGTATTTAAAGCAGAGATGTTCTGTATTTAAAACTGTATACATAACAATTTGTTTTGAATGTTGGTAAGTTCATTTAATTGGTTTTAGATCTTTTATAATGAGATGAAGTAATTTAGGGCTGAAGTTGAAATAACTTACCTTCCCAGATTCAAAGTATGTGTCTTTCTCTCAGTAAACTGTATTATAATTCCAGTTGCTTTCCTTCAAGTTCTCATAATCACATTACCTCTCTTCCCTTCAAAAAATCCTCTTGTTACTGATTATATGTTATTTAGAATCAAAGACCTCAGTAGTATTTTAGTGCCAAAATTATAGGCTATAGCTTTCACTGACCAAGATGTTGCCCTTCCCCCCCCTTATTAATTTATAAAAAAACACTAAATATTCTGAGATAAAACGTTCTTTTGTCTTTGTACTTAAAGTTTATTTTGAATCTGGGTCAGAAGATATCTAGGGTCTCTCACCTGACTCTAAATTAAATTCAGAGAATCCCAGGTGGTCTCTTTGGGTTTAGAGGCTGAGTTGAATCCAGGAAAGTTATTCCAAGTTAAAATGCTTATAAAGTGGTTTGTAGTGTACTCAGATTTCAACCATATTTACGAAAAACAAACAAACAAAAAAACCTAGAGAATTCTGTCTATTGAGTAAATACAGGTGCATATTCCAAAATGCTAATAGTAGTTTAGGTGAGAAGAGTGTGGGTGATTTTTTTTCTTTTTCTGCATTTCCATATTTTCTTTAATAAGCAAGATTTTTTATGAAGAAAATTAATCTTAATATAGGGTTTCTAAGCAATATAATGCTGAAATTGAGGTTATGAAATCTTATTTATCAGTCCCGTCCTCATTTTTTTTTTTTAATCAAGACTGCCACCAATATTAGCACATTTCATACTGCTTAGGAGTTTTCTCGTGTTTCCGCGTGCCATCTGTTAAGGACCGCTCACGAGTGTTCTCGTTTTTCACGCCCATGGAAAAAGGAGCGAATCTAGATACTTATGTAAATTTTGTTTGGTCCCTCTTCATAGAGGAAAATGTTTTACGCAGTACCATACGTTAAAAAAGTACTAGGAACTTTAATTGTTTAATTGTTTTTGTAAATAAAAATGTTATATTTATTTAAAAACAACACCTAAAGTGCATTATGATGATTTAAATAACGTGCAGTTTGCCCAAAAACGTGCGGTCCCTGGCGTATGTCTTAGAGATTTCTATGCGGTACGCAATGTGTTAGTATGTATCACATTCTGCACTTTTTTCTCTGTATTATATCTTCTCAATTCAAATATTAGCCAGGATGGAATGTGAGGAATGATTGATTATAATTAAAATGCAGCCAACAGAAGATTTGTCATGAATTTATTTGCTTTATCTCTTCCTTTGCCCTTGTGGGTTCCTTGTGGGATGTTTCTATATCTTACATTAATGTTTTTCAAACTTTAATATAAAGCCCACCCTTTTATTTGTTTTATTTAGGTTTCCATTCTATACTGTGTGTAGAATAATGACTCAATTCTCCCCATTTTGTCTGTTCAAACTACTGTGAACTCTTCATTCAGATAGTGTGCCTTGACATAATTTGGTCTCATTTGGTACAAATGCATTTATTAGGTAATAAGGATACTATGTTAATTTCTCATTAGTGCACACAACTAGATTGGTGTTACCTTGGTTGTAAATAAAAAACCAAATTCAGACACAGAAATTTCATGACACTGCTCTGTCATCTAGATGAATCTAGATGATCCAGGATATTCTTATATTGATTTTTAAAAATAGGTTATTATTAATATGAAAACACAAAATTTTAAATTTGTAGAAGAAGTCTGTCCCTTCTCTCCATTATGATAGTAGACACCAACTTGAGAAGTGCTCTCTCCCACTAGGCAGCCAATGGAGTTATTATTATTATTTTTTAATACATTAATGTGGTTTTTCTAAAGAGAAGAGCTTCTTGTCCTTAGAGGTCAGGTAAATACAGTCCTGAAACAAAAGCTGCTTTGTTAGAATGCACTTTAGCCCCATTTTCTGAAGCTTGTGGGTATCCTGATTTCTTGTGCTGCAGTATAGTACAGCTCTCTCACCAGGATTCGGAGCCAGTGTTCTCAAAAAAGTAGGTAGATATAAAAATCAAGAGAGAAAATATCTTCCATGGGAACACTGAGGTGAGAGATTCAGGTATGTAGGAAAGATAACAAACAGAAGAACAAGACCACAAGATGATCACAGTGTACTATATGGCAGGAATCTTGAGAATTTAGAAATCCAGTAAGTTGCCCTTGCCTATTACTTTATAGCCAGAGCAACCTAATTCATTGAGAAAGCATTTGTGGTTTAGGTAGGAAATAGGAAAGGAAATAGGTGCTAATGTTTTGAAATAGGGATATTCTTGGGAGTGGGGATAAGAAAGATAAAGACCTCTGCATTGATGTATGCTGTACACATCAAAGAGTAAAAGCCAGGTGGGAGGCAAAAGGAAGTGATGCAAAAGTAGATTGAGAATTAAGTAGAAATGGAAATTGGTTGGAAGAAGAGAGTAAACTTAAATTCTGCATTTAGAAAATGGAGGTCTGGTTAAATGATACTCTTTTTTCTTTTTAAAAAATTCTATTCATTTTTATAGGGGAGAGAGAGAGAGAGAGGAAGAGAGAGAGAGAGAGAGAGAGAGAGGAGAGAGGGAGTAGAAATGGAAATTGGTTGGAAGAAGAGAGTAAACTTAAATTCTGCATTTAGAAAATGGAGGTCTGGTTAAATGATACTCTTTTTTCTTTTTAAAAAATTCTATTCATTTTTATAGGGGAGAGAGAGAGAGAGAGGAAGAGAGAGAGGGGGAGAGGAAGAGGAAGAGAGAGGAAGAGAGAGAAAGAGAGAGAATAGAGCAACACATCGATCTGCTGCCTGCAATCTTCCCACCAGGGTTGGAGCCTGAAACCCAGGCACATGCCCTGGCCGGGAATCAAACCGGCAATCTTTGGGTGCACGGGACTATGCCCATCCAATGAGCAATACCAGCCAGGGCAAATATAATAGTCTCTTAGGTATGAAGTGGGGATCTAATTTAAGCACTGCTTCTTTGTTCCTCAAGTTTTTTCTTTTGTTAACAATCTGTTGTATTTTTTCTCTGGATTCTTTTGAAAATATTGTGAAAGTATGCATATAAAGGATTATTTCATTTTAGTTCTGAATAAATGTAAAGATTCTACCTCCATTATAGTTCTGTGATTTGTCTTATCTATCTCCACTGCCCTGACTTTAACTTAGACCTTCGTAGAATTGTTAAAACAACCTCCTACCTCCTAACCAATTTCCCTCCTTCAGTTTCACATACGTCACATTTTCCTTTCTGTCAAAGTTAGGTTTCTTAAAAGCACATGTGACACTGCCATTTCTGTTTAAAATTATTCTCTGATTCCTCATTGCCTTTAGGAAAATTTGACATAATATAGATATAATGACAAGTGAACATAATACCCAATTTATGCTTGTCAATGTAATTATTAAGTGCATGCCCCTTTACTCTCAAGTGTTCCAGTTTGGATGACAAGTATACATTTACTCTGCTCCTAATCATTTCTACCTTTCCTGTCCAAAATAATAGGATATTTAATTCTTGTCCTGCTCTTAACCTTCCCTGAAGCATCAACTTGATAGAACCCAGTCTTTTTCTCAAGCTTTCTAGCTCCTTCACCCTTAAATGCATATATTTTGGCAATAAATGTAAAAGTTAATAGTTAGGGTAGGTTAGGGATTTCTAATAAGGTTATAGTATAATTGATATGAGTCCCCCCCCCCATTTTGAGTGCCCAATTCCGTTAACTTTTGTCTAAGTTATTTAAGAAAAGTATTCCCTCTTTATCCCAGTAGTAAATAAACCTATGATATGAAATCAGTTAGGTAACACAGATATCTGTATATTCTTTCAGATCAATGAAATTCATAAGTGATATAACTGTTTAGTGAAAGGAAGTAAATTAGAATCCCAAGGGCCCTGATCTCTTTCATTTGGATTAGGGCTGTTTAATATGTTAGCTTTTAGCTCATTTTGAAGGGAGCATGCAATCATGCTGAATTTTTGTGTCCAATCAAACTGGTCTCCTTAATTGGATCCCAGAGAAGCCACAATCATTTCTGCCTCCTGCTATTGTCTTCTTTTTTTCCACATTTAGAATGTTTTTCTCTGCTTACTAAGTTTTAATCTCTTCTCAAGACCTGAAATTTCACTTCTCCCATGAAATATTTTCTAATTATTTAAGCTCTCCATGATTATACGTACCAAGTTATACCATATGTATTATAGCATTTACAAATTTCTCTTTCAAAATGGTAATAACAAAATGGGTCCAATTACCTAAAAATGTTTGTTGCTGTTTTTGGCATACATGATAGCTTCCTTAATAGTTAAGTGTCTGTAGGATATGTGGAACCATAGGTCATTTTTATTAAGTATCCCAGAATGCATTATCCACAAAAATCAATCCTTGCATACTTGATTTCTTAGAACATTGTATATATGTTTTAAAATGAATGAATACTGGTATTTCCATCTAGCTAACAGAGTAAGCAGATTATTGGGTTCTGAGGTCATTTCAGCTATCAAGGAATCAGACTGGACTAAACAATTATACTTAATTACTCTCTATGCTTAAAGCTATACTTACTTTTTAAAGACTTCATAATCTTACCTTTTTTTTTTTGAGCCTTTCAGTGCAATATTTTTCGCTTAGTAAGCTTACCTGTTCCAACTGTAGTTTAACATGTTACCAAAAATACTTCCAGGCAGGGCATGGAGAGCACAAAACAAAAATTGCCTTTAGAAACTTTTTTGCAGGTCCACTTCATCTAGCTCTTCTAGTCTCTTTATACCCTAATCATTTGCTCACTTGTATTCCAGAAAGCATAAAACTATGTTGGGGATTTCTGTTTGTTTCTATGATTGCCACTTGTCTGTTATATTCTATTGATTAGGTGAATCATTTCCTATATTATTATTTAACCCCTTCCGCCCTGAACATTCTACTATCCATTATCACTTTTCTCATAAATACACTGTTTCCTATTGCATTTGCTACGTATATCTTTACTAGTGCTAGAATAATCACTTTTCTTTTTCTAACATTGCTTCCTATGTGAGTAGACGTCTTCATTTTTCTATTTACACTGGCTATGCTCCCATTTCTTTGCTGGTAACTAGGCTTCCTAGGGTAGTCAATCAATATGGGAGAGGAATAATATAAAAAATAAGAATATTTTTTAATTTATCATTTGTTTTTTAAAACCCATATATCCTTTGTAACCCAGTGCTGTGCTGGATGCCATAAAGAATGCAAAAGACGTAAAATATATAGTCCTTATCCTTGAAAAGGTTACAGGTGACACAACTGACTCAGTTGAAGCAAGTATCAAATAAATATACACTAATATATAACCATATACTTGATTGTATTTTCTAGATGTTCAAAGGTGTTTCACATGTTGCAGGCTTTATAAGACATCAAGGGTGGTGGAGGGAAAAAGGTGATGGAAGGACCCAGGAAAGTGGGCTGTTGAAGGAGGATTTGGATTTCCTTAGATGTACATAGGTTAGAATTGTTGTAGCCTAAGGGACTATCCTTTAAGATGAGGAAGTGTGAATGAAAAGGAAATAAGTCCCTATTCTTAGGAAGGTCAGCCTGACTACAATAATAATTTCATGAACAATGAGCGATTAAATTGGATAAGTGGACATTTGGTAAATCACAATTCTGTGTAAGCCTGTAGTAATATTGATCAGTGAATGATATTAGAGGGAGAAATTACGTAGCATAGTTAAATGCTGATATCAAAACATACATAGAATGCAAGAAAGCTCAATAAGCCTTTTAGTTAGCACAGATGAAATTTATTGAATGCTGGCTCTGTCATGGCTAAGGAAAGGATGTTTGTGTTTCTTATGAATTATGTACTATATGTGAGCACTTAAGTAGATTTAAGTTTTTTTCTTAATTAGCTTGGTTAATCATCATAATTAACTGTTCAAAAAAATCCATGCCATTCTCTCACTTTTAATCCTATATTTACATTTACAAATTGCAAATAATTTTAACTGATTAATAAATTACTTGAGAGCCAATACTTGGGTTGCCCTTTAAGAATGTTCAGAATTTATCCATTTTTAACATTAGGTTCCTGTGTATTTTGTGTATAATCAGAGAACAGTGTCTGTGTTGTGCATTTATCACAATCAAAACTAGGGAGGAGTAGCTGGTCAGAATAGGCATGGCACTAGTCCTGTGTTCTACTTAGATTATCATTGCCCATAGGCATTTTTACATTGCTCTGGTTGGCTGTTTAATGCAGTAGAATTATTGAGAGTTAATGCTCTGAGAATCAACAGTAGGCTTTGGTATGGTATATATGACTGTTTATAAATGGTAATTTTAAAGTGCTCAAGATTCAATCATAACATTTAGCTCCAGGTTGAAATTTGATATTTAATAGCAGAAGTCTATTCTAGGACATGTAAAGGAAAATTGCCTCTATCATTTTTGAGTTATCCAAATGCAAATTTATTTTGAATAATTCTTTATTTAAGTACTCATTTGCATTTGTTCAATATCACTGAGACTTCCTTTTTGAAAAACTTAATTTTTTCTGTTAATTTCTTCTATGGATTAGTATTTGTGATGAGAGTTTGTTTCAATTTAAGAAAATGTGTTGCTGCACAGGTGAGGTAGTATTTGAATCACTTGAAAGTTCATGTCAGTGTTTTGATTCCTTTCAATTTTTTCTTTTTCTTTTCTTTCTTTCAATTATTTATTTATTTGCTTTGTTCTGTTTTGTTTTATTTATTTACTTCTGTTTTTAGTTATTACAGGGGTGTTTTGGGCTCTTCATGGCCTTGCTAACATACTTGGCTGGCCATATTTAGTCTGCGTACTAATTGTTAGTTGGCCCAGTTGAGTCTTACTTTGTGCTCTCAGTTTTTTTAGTCTGGTTTTCTACTTTCGTCCACCTAGTTGTGTTTTAGTTCATGAGAGATTTCTATTCTGATGGGCCGGATTTTAATCCGTGTACTAAATTTTAGTCTGCAGACTAAAAGTAATCCGCGGATTATTTATTTTTGCAAAATATTTAATTCGCCCACTGGAAACTATCCTAAAAGAATGTAAAATTCTCTTAGAATAGCCAAGGGAATTCACAGCTACTGGTGAGTTCTGCCATTGTTTGTTCTCAATACCTAGACATAATAGACCCTACCACCTCCCTTGCATATTTGGCTCCTTTGTGCCTAGGTGTTGGTGTACATTATTATGCATGTCACCTATAACTGTGACTGTCCCTTAGTTGTATTGTTTATTGTATATATTTTTGTTTAGCTTTTGGTGGGTGAATTGGGCATATTTGCAGATGAAACTGTGTTGAATTTGTAGTGCTCAAAGATGTAGGATTTTTTTTCCAGTGAGTTTTTCCAAAAAGGAAATAATGTTATATATTTATTTTTCCTAAGTAATGGGTGCAAGGGTATGAGGGGGCAAAGCCCACAATAGAAAATGTAAGTTTATACCCGCACTCCTGAGGTGATAATGTCTATTCCTGAAGAGTCCTAAGATAATGAGAATGTCAGCAAATATCTTTTAGCAGGGAAGTCAATCCAAAATGGAGAATAATCCGCGGTGGCCTGATCCTTCTTAGCTCACACAAATTGGAAATATTTGGCTTGAAATCTATAGTAATACAAATTAAATATATTACTTCTCATCACTAATAATTTAGCAAGAAAAATGTTTATACTGTATAACTGGAATATGTTAATAGAGGAAAATTAGCATATTGGGAACATATCTTTAAAAGCAATCTTAAATGCCCCCTCCCAGCCATGTCAATGGATGATGAATCCAGGTCATAGAAGACCAAACACTTTACTTTGGGAACGTTACTTCTAGATTTCATTTTGATTTTAACTTTTTTTGGTTTTGTATTTTTTTAATAAATGCACTGGCATTGGAACATAATATAAATTAAAATGTTTCTTTACTGTGCCTCACCATTGCGCAATCAAAAAAATTTTTTTGCATACACTGTGGTGAAATAATTTTTAAAACTTGGACTTGCTACTGTGGAGACTGATGTTTAAAGTTTATAACTGTATAAACATTTTCTATGTCCCCCCCACACCATGGATTTCTTATAACATTGGATATATTTTTCCTTGCTGGACTATTCTCTTTTGGATTGACTTCCCCTGTTTGGATTATTTCACTGCATTATCATCTTTAGGATTCATCAGGAACAGGACATTTCAACTCAGGAGTGCGGGTATGTACTTAATTTTTTTTTCCCAAAATTTCAGGGCAGGTTTATAAAACTAGGGGGAAAACTTTTTGAAAGGCTAAACAATTATTCATTCTTGGAATATAACAGTAAAAACAATGTAGGTAGCTCTGATTTCTGTTTTCATTCACTGTATGATACAGGTTTTGCTTATGGTATAGATTGTCAGTCTTCTGAGTGATTTATTGACATCTAGACTAAAGTTTAGGAATTACGGTGTTTGAAAATTGTTTTTACAAGAATAAATATTGACGAAGGTCCATGGAACCAAAGGTTCTGAATGTTAAGCAATTGAAATAAGTGAAGAATGAAGCAGAAACTTCTTTATTAAAAGTCAAATTTCAGTAGTTACTGGTGTCCTTTCCTTTAGACACAAAGATAATTCAGAAGAGTTGTTTTCTAGTTTAGACTGCAATTTTTGGAAGTTCCTTGCTACCACACCCTATATTACAGTTAAAAATCTGAACTTTAGGAGACACTGGTTTTTGACCTCACATAAATGTCTATTTAACCTTTATAAACTAATGAACCAAAGGTTTTCTCATCAGGAATCTTTCAAAGGGCTTTAAGTAATAATGGATAGTTTTTTAAAAGGCAGGTTAAGTCTTGATTTTAATGTAGGTTCTTGGAATGAATGCCTTTATTTTTTTAAAATCTGATTCCATGAGTTAGGATTCCCTGGCAAAATAGGCTAATATGTGTCTTAGTGCTAACATGGATGGTCCTGTATAGCCTGTAAGTTATCGGAAAGATGTGGATGGCTCTTTTTTAATAACCGGAGAAAAGGTTACAATAGTGATTTATTAATAGCTTTACAAAATCTTCATTAATAAAACAGGAAATTTTTAAAAATACACTCACTATCCAGCTACCCGACATTTGAATGTTAGCAGGAGATACTTATTTCTACTTTTAATTCTACTTATCTGCCTCCCATATTGGTGCAGAAGCATTTTTTATTATACTAGCTAGCAAAATAAATCCATATGCTGTCAAATAAGTATAAACTGTACTAGGATAAAATATGTCAGTAGTGCTTAATATTTTTATTAAAAATTTTCCTACTGACTATTTTCTTTTACATGTGAGTGTGATTATGGTCCTGGCTGGGAGCACGTGAGGAAAAAATGGCCAAGAACAGTAGAAAATCTAAACGTTTCAAATAATACAGTAACGTTGGGTTTTCTTGACTGAGGCAAGTCAGGTCACTCAAAAGAATAAAAGATGAAGCAGGTTGTTTTTTACCTTACAGAGGGTTTTCTAACACAGCCAAATAAATAAATTACCAAGGCCTTCAATATTCTAAAATAAATCCATGAGATCCTGCTTAAATCAGTTTCTCAGTTTCCATGGAAAATATATTTATCAGTAATAAACTTTTTGTAAAACGAGAAAAAAAAAAGGTTTTCTCTGTACAAAGTACTCTTTTTTTTTTTTCGGTCTCTTGAAATCTAATGAGCCCTGTAATAGTAATTAGTTCTCCTACCTTTAGTCTAAGTGAATGCCCAGAGTTACATGAACCATTCTCATTAGGAAACCTTAGCCTCCCAGGCTCCTCCATGCCATGTCACAATCTGCATATCCTTTGCTTATTTGTGGGTCTGTTTCCCTCCATTTATACATTTCTGCATTTTTTTTTTAATCTTCATCTAAGAATACTTGTTTCTTTTGTTTTTTAGAGAGAGTGGAAGACAGGGAGAGAGGGGGGAGAGAGAGAGAGACATTGATGTGACAGAAACACATCAATTGGTTGCCTCCTGCACACATCCGACTGGGGCTGATGATTGAGCCTGCAACCCAGTTATGATGCCCTTGACCAGGAATTAAACTCGTGACCCGCTGGTGTGAGGACTGATGCTCCAACCACTGAGCAACATTGGCCAGGGCATTTCTGCTTTTTTTTTTTTTTAATATATTTTATTGATTTTTTACAGAGAAGAAGGGAGAGGGATAGAGAGTTAGAAACATCAATGAGAGAGAAACATCAATCAGCTGCCTCCTGCACACCCCCTTGAGGATGTGCTCACAACCAAGGTACATGCCCTTGACCGGAATCGAACCTGGGACCCTTGAGTCCGCAGGCCGATGCTCTATCCACTTAGCTAAACTGGTTAGGGCAACTTCTGCTTCTTTTTATGTCTGTTAATTCCACCACTGCTACTACCACACCTACTGTTTGAGTCTATGTTCTTCCTATCAAGAGATACATGTTTCATTTTTTTTTAGCAGACTTTTAAAATTTATTGATTTAGAGAGGAACAATCTGTTCCACTTATTGATGGAATTTATTGGTTCTTCCTTGTATGTGTCCTGACTGGGGATTGAACTTCCAACCTTGGTGCATCAGGACGAAGCTCTAACCACCAACTGAGCTACCTGGCCAGGGCCAGTGTTTCCTTTTTTTTTTTTTTTAAGTTTTATTTTCCCCTTCTGTTTGTATTCTTTAACTGTCCATAATTTAAAACGAAGTATATTTTCATAGTTTTATGTATTGATTAGGGATTTTAAGACATAGGTAAGTAGAAAGCTTTCTATTCCTTTAAGCAAATTAATTTATTTGCATTTTGCTTCAATTGACTTTTTCTGTGAGTTAATGGCTCTTGATGAAAACTACATTTCTCTCTTCATGATTAAAAAAACCTTAGAGTATTCATACAAATGAGGGTAATCTGGCCATGTTCGTGAGAAACGGCTACTTGAGAAAACAGTTTTTGGAAATTTTGTCAAATTCTGGATATTCAGGAATTTCTTCAAATAATGATAGGTTCTATTTATTAACAAGATAATATAAAATCATTGACATTTATAGACTTAGAGTAAATAGCTTTTCTTTTTTAAAAGATATTGATCGCCAGATTTGAAAAGTGCTCTCTCCATTATCAATAGTTGTTCTACTACAAATCACATAAAAGAGGCAAACTTTTATCTACTGCCACTGCAGTCAAAACTGTTAAAAAATTTTATATTCTTTAAAAAAAATTTTATATTCTTCATGTTTTTGCCTCCAGAACTCATCCTTTCTCTTGTGCCTGTCATATTTTGTGTGCATGTTAGATTGTTCTGCTTTATGATTAGCATATATAGATTTTTTTTCCACTTCTCCTAGTTTTTTCTCTGAGCTTTTCTCATATAGTCTTTAATTAGCAGTTCACCACAGTGTGGTGAATTATATGAAGTTAACTCTTTTCATTCTAGAAGGTTACTTTCACAAATGCAACCATGTTTTTGTATGTGGTAAGAATTCTCAGTACTCGGGATAAATTGCTAAGATTCTTAAAAAACATTAATTGTTCTTTCCCTTTTTTGTACTGCAGGTCTTCCGACCCCGAACTCCACCAGAGGCAATTGCACTGTGTAGCCGTCTGTTGGAGTATACACCAACTGCCCGACTGACACCACTGGAAGCTTGTGCACATTCATTTTTTGATGAATTACGGGACCCAAATGTCAAACTACCAAATGGGCGAGACACCCCTGCACTCTTCAACTTCACCACTCAAGGTAATTTCAAACATTTAGCTCTTTCACCATTTCTGAGAAAACTATACATGGATGTGAAGTGACACTCTTGATTAAAATCTGTAGGACAAAAATGAACATTCTAAGTACTTATGCAGGTGTGAAAGAGCCGTTCTAATCACTTATTAGACCACTACTTGTATGTTAGATAAAATTTTTCAAATGGGCTTAGCTTCTCTGATTTTTAGCCGATTATAATAAATCTTGGCATATGACAAGTTATAGAGATCTCACTAATATGATCTTCAGGTTTGTATTTGAAACTTAGAACATGTAGCATTTCTTGCTTCCCAAGGGTTTATATCAAGTTTTATAAACCTAGAAACAAATTGGTGGCTATGTTTTTTAAATTGAGATATCTTAAAAATGGGGAGAACTAGAATGCTATACTCTTTCTTAAAACTGATATAAGTGATATAGAGAAATTTCCATCCTCTCTATAGCTTGGCACCACTGCTGCTGCTGAGAAAACAAACGTTCAAAGGAAAACTTGAGTTTTTGCATTGCTGGTTTCTAAAAGATTCAGGGATAAACACTATTTCTTCACCACGTCTATGTTCTTTCTTCTTTTCTCTCTGATTAAGACCTTACGTGATTCATTTAATCAACCACACTGCCTCTAAAGATGTGACTTTCTTCAGAATTGAACGTTAGAAGAGTACAATTTCCCATAGATAAAATAAGCAATAAATAAATGATTGATTGATTGACTAGTCTGCTGCTTAGTCAAGCTAAAAATAGAGACAGGGAGCTTTCTATGATGAAATAGATACATTTCCTTTATTCTAAGGTGTATTTTTAGCCCATATTTAAATTGAATGTGGACAAATGCATTGCTTAAGCTGTAAATTTGGAAGACCTGAGTTGCTGGTAAAATAGACTTGAATGATTCTGTTTTCTGTAATCTTATGTAAGCTGTCAGTATTACATAACTACTAACAATGCTGATGTAGTCTTAAACTACATTTATAAAAGAAAAATATTCACGTATCTTGGGACTATTAATTTAGACTGTTTAGGTCTGATTAGAAATCATTTGAAATGTTGTTTTTGGTTCTGGCTATGCAATTTTAAGAAGAATATTAATGAATGGCAGAATTGAATATAGAGCCTGGAAAAATGAAGACTTAAGGGACTCCCAAAAGCTGTCTAAAAATACCTCAAAGACTGTTTTCTAAAGAAAGGAGTAGACATATTTTTTCTCCAGATTGCAAAATTGAAAATAGTTGCAAAAAATTAGAGCAGTACACATTTGGGCTTACTATAAATACTTCAGCACCCGGCACAAATAGAGATTGAATAAAGCTATTAAGATTCAATGAAGTATTCAATTGTTTAACAGTAGAATAAGTTGTTTTCAAAACATTGATCTCTGGATCAGGAGAAAGCTGGATAATGTCAATAATGTAAATAATATTACTTCAAGTTGGCAGAAGGTTAGGTTGGACACTCTTGGCCTCTTGTAGAGCAAGGTCATTCACCTCACTTCCTCCCATCACATTGTATCATCTTATATCATCACAAGAAGGATAAGTACAGTCCAATAAGCTATTTTGAGAGAGAGCTAGCACATGCACATTCACGTAACTTTTATTACAGTATGTTTTAATAATTGTTCTATTTTATTGTTGTTAATCTCTTACTGTGCCTAATTTATAAATTAAATCTTATCATAGGTATATATGTATGTATAGGAAAAAAAACATATAAGGTTCGATACTATCCTCAATTTTAGGCATCCACTGGGGGTCTTAGAACGTATCCCCTGCGGATAAGGGGGACTACTATAATTACATTTGATTTATTAGTCACTTTCATATAAGTGGAGTCACGTAATATGTTACTTTTTGTGTCTAGCTTCTTTTAGTAAGGTAAACCTTGCCAATGAACAGAACTGTGAAGAGTAAACACTTGAGCCCTAACCGGTTTGGCTCAGTAGATAGAGTGTCGGCCTACGGACTGAAGGGTCCTGGGTTTGATTCCAGTCACAGGTACATGCCCAGGTTGCTGGCTTGATTCCCAGTGGGGGGTGTACAGAGGTAACCGATCGATGATTCTCTCTCATCATTGATGTTTCTCTCCCTCTCCCTTCCTCTCTAAAATCAACAAAAAAAATATATATTTTTTAAAAAGAGTAAAAACTTGAGAAAAATACAGTATTGTATTAAAGTAAAGCTTTAGAACAATGCTAACTGCAATTAGCTGTTTGTTACTGTGTCATGAGTAATTAGCCATAAATAGTAATTGGTATTACTTTCATATAATCAAAAGAAGTATTCCTGGAAGAAGAAAGATGACAGATAAGAGACAGAAAACTTTGAGAACCTTCTGACATCCTTGTTCCACAACTCATGAGACTGTCAGATCTTTCATTTTCCAGCCCTGGGCTTCAGTGTTCTAGGACCCTGGATTGACAGTATTATCTGCATCCAGACATTGGAAACCAGATCATACCTTTGGCACACCCCCTTTCCTCCAATCATTTGATTTCAAAGTAGACGTAACTGAATCAAGCCTTAGAAAGTAGATAGAATCAGGAAATCCCAACAGGGATCAATATTTCTTTTTATTCACCAATTCCTTGCCTGTTCCAAGGCTGGAATATATTGGGAAATAGGTTGTTTTGTATGTTTAAAGGTGTGTCTCCAATTAACCTCACCACAAACATCCCCGATCCCAATTTTCTACCCAAATTGGTACGAAATTTTACCAACGAATTATTTTAACAAGCATGGTGGGCTTAGGCCAGGACAAGGGTGGCCAGGGGTGAGTAAAAATTATCAATTATTGCCCTAACTGGTTTGGCTCAGTGGATAGAGCGTCGGCCTACAGACTAGAAGTTCCCAGGTTCAATTCCGGTCAAGGGCATGTACCTTGGTTGCGGGCACATCCCCAATAGGAGGTGTGCAGGAGGCAGCTGATCAATGTTTCTCTCCCATCGATGTTTCTAACTCTCTATCCCTCTCTGTAAAAAATCAATAAAATATATATTTTTTTAAAAATTATCAATTATTTATATTAGTATGGTTTAATTTGAAGAGTTTACTGCTCTACAACTTAGCTGGGTTATCTGAAAGAGTGGCAGCTTTATGGAGAGATAAGGAGGAAGAGTGGATTACTGGCTAGGCCAAAAGAATGGAAAACTGCTTAAATGAGAGTAAAAGTTGGAAATTTGGGGCAGACAGAGAGCAACAAGCAAACTCATGCAGATGTAGATGTCTTGGAGTATAAGGGCAAGGGTGTCTGGATGTGAGGAAAGCAGATGGTGAAATAGAAAGGGGGATCCAGAAAGTAAGTAAAAAAAGGACACTAAGAAAGAGTAAAGGTTCAGAGAACAATTTTTAACAGTGTAGGAATGTGTCACGGAATAGAAAGTGATGCAAACAGGATTGAGAACAAGTTGCGGATAGGCAACTAAAGTGGGTGTTCTAGAAGCCCAGCTCATCAAAAGGTTATACTTTTTTCATTTGAAAGCAGTAGACTACTTATTTACAAAACTTATGCAACTCATTATTTATGATAATTAGCAGATTCTATGATCTTTGTAGCAGTGAATTTTAAATCAGTTTTCCTGGTATAAAATAGTGATTCACATAAATATGATCAGTTCATCTGCTTACCTGCCTTTCTATGTCTTAGGCATTTCTTCTAGCCAGCCTTATCCTGAGCCACAGAGTAGGCACAATATCTCAACCACCTGAAGTGATGAGGTGCCTTCCAATATTATTCTCAAATTATTATAAGCCTTAATATAGAACTTTTCGCGTTTTAGCGTATGTTATTATAATTTACAATGGCAAGGATAAATTGACGTAAGATAGGAATTCTTTTAATCCTCACATGAGGACACGTTCATTTATTTTAGAGTAAGGAAGGGAGAGAGAGAAATATCGATGTGAGAGAGAAACATACGTGCCCCCAACTGGTAATCAAACCCGCAACCTTCGGTGCATGGTACGATGCTCCAACCAACTGAGCCACACCAGCCAGGGCAAGATAGGAACTTAACTTATATGTAGGATATGAATCAGATCATAAAGTGAAACTCATAAACTGCTCTAATTTGCAGTGCCCCTCCATTTTTTAAAAATTAAACTGTAAACCTTTCCTGTGGGCTATCCCCGTTTTCTATTGTGTTCTTCTGAGTGAAGATGGCTATAAAAAGGTTTTTTTTATAAGACAACTTGAGAAAATCTGGATATAAATAAATGGATTATTCTGTAAATAAGTGAGAGGTAGAGCTGTTCATACTTAAGTTGATGTCAGAATTATTCTTTAATAGTTTATAAGCAGTCCAGAAGAGTACATTGTCTAGATAAGCAAGCTGTACTCTTTTAGGTACTGAAATGCTAAATCGGTGGAAATGCACTACAGGAAGAGCTTGAGAAAATTCATGGGTGGCCTTCAAATTGGTAGGTGGCAGGTTAAATAAGCAAGGCAACTTACCAAACTTGTGTTGGGTGACAAGACAAGTAGATCTCAGCACCCATCTGCCAAATCTTAAAAGGTTTTATAGAGGCCCTAACTAGGTTTAGTCACATACTTAGGGAGCCATAACTGGGGTCAGTCACATGCTCAGTCCAGATAATCTCAACACCACATTTCTATCTTAAGGCTGTATCTTTGGAGCAGCTTCTAGGACCAGGGAAAGCAAACATAGTGCACATTCCAATGCACAAGGGGATGGCAGGGGAGGAGCCTCCAATTGTGTCCAGCTTGAAGGTCCAACATGTGGCCATATCTTCTTGATGACCTTCCCCAACAAGTATTCCATATGAAAAGAAGTAAGTCAGACCTAGCGTTAGTTTCCAGTCTCTAACTAGTTGTGGACCTTGGCCAAGGCATTAGTTTGGAGTTTCCGCACTTAAAAAAATATATTAGTAGGAGTAAAGGATATTCAGGGACCCATCTAGCTCCAAAATTCTGATTATAAAAATGAATTGACTCCACAGAAAGACAATGAAAATAAGAAATAAAGCTAA